CCCTTTATTTTTCTTTCTCCTTTATTTTTCTTTCCTTTTCTTTCAGACGGAGTCTCGCTCTGTCACCAGGCCAGAGTGCAATGGCGCGATCTCAGCTCACTGCAACCTCCACCTGCTGGGTTCAAGCAATTCTCCTGCCTCAGCCTCTCAAGAAGCTGGGACTACAGGTTCGCGCCATCACGCCCAGCTAATTTTTGTATTTTTAGTAGAGACGGGGTTTCACCATGTTGGCCAGGCTGATCTCAATTCCTGACCTCAGGTGATCCACCCGCCTCAGCCTCCCAAAGTGCTGGGATTACAGGCGTGAGCCACCACACCCGGCCCATTTTCATACATATGCTCCAGCTGATTTAAAATTCCATCCCCCCCCTCCTTATCTCCCTCTTTGGCTTTATGTTCTTCCTAGCACTAAATTCCCTCTGCTATATTATTTAACTATTTATTGTTTACTCTGTACTGTGCTCCCTCCCCACCCCAACCCCCCCCCACACACGGAAATGTCTGCTGGGGAGATGGAGAATCTGTCTTGTGTAATGATGTATCCACAGTGCTTGTTACATACATAGCAGACACTCAATAACCATGTGTGCAATGAAGGAGTGAATGAATTTGTTAAAAACAGGTGCCCAGGATATTTCTAACTCACCTTGCTGCCATTCTGTGAGTTCTTGTAAACCCCAGGGAGTACTGCATCCCTTCCATGCATCATAAGCAGACCGCATTCGACCCACTTTGCGGTGAGGAAACAAACTCAGTGGGTTAGTTTGTTCAGTCTCTCAACCAGCACCAGTCAGAAGTTGGAGGGGAACCCTCCTTTCAGCGCTCTGTACCAGGGGCTAGCCCTGCCGTTCTCTGACCTCTGTAGGGGCAGGTACTGGAGTGGCCAGAGTCCCTGAGCTCTGTCCCCTGGCCAAGGCCTTCTCTTTCCAGCGAGAAGAAGGGGAATCATTTCTCACCTCCTACCCACCCTGTACCCAGGCCCCCAAGGTGTTCAAGGTGTACCCTGAACCCCAAGGTGTCAAGAGTTAAGATAGTTTTTACTTGGGGAGGGGAGTATCTGTAGCATCTCCAAATCTGGCTGGAGTGGAGGGGCTAGGGATACAGTTGGAAGCATTGATTTGATTTTGCTGATGTTTCTGTCTCTCCTTATGGCAACACAAGCATGTCCAGAGGAGAAGGCCAGAGCAGGAAGCTGGGGAGCCCCAGATTTCCTTATACTGCATCCCTGAGGCATGCAGCGCCAGTCCCCTCAGGACCCCGGTGGCCAAGGATCACCCTGGACAAGGCCCTGGAGGCATTTCTCTGTAACAAACCCACTCCCAGCACCAGGCCTCTCACCCAACCCAATATATCCATCTTCTCTAAACCTTGCTGACCTCCTGCCTACCCTGTCCCCGAGGCCACGTCCTAAACCCCAGCTCTGCAGTCTCACTCTCCAGCCCTCAGCTGGGATGGAAAGCAAGCATGGGTTCTGGATCCCCCCTCTCTGGATGGAGTTCACCCTCTTTGTGAGAGAGTTCAGGGCTGCAGTGTGAACGCTTCAGTGAGCATGAGGTGGGGGCAGTTTGAGAGGCCACAGGCCCTGTCTTTGTTTGGAAAATTCCCTACCATTCCTCTCCCACCTCCGGTCTGTGTTCTCTTCCTAAGAAAATAAAGGGCCTCTTCCTATTTCAGTCTCACGGCCTCATGAAAACGCTGAACACTTTGAGATGAATTGATTTTTATTCGAAGCCTCTGTATGTTCTAGTTTCTTTGTCCTTCCCCTCTGTTTCTGCATTTCCTGTCCCCTTCTTCCTTCTTGCTTTCTGCGTGGTGCTGGCCCACTCCTCATCCTCTCCTTCTGTCGCCCTATCCTTTACTTTCCCATATTTTTCCAAAGCTCCTTCCCCAGCTCTTCATTCTCCCTCCTCCTGCCTCTCTCCTTTGTCTCCCTTCCAGTTGAATGTGCTTCCCCTCCCCCAACTTCCCCACCTACTTCATCGCT